TTCCTTCCTTCCTTCCTTCCTTCCTTCCTTCCTTCCTTCCTTCCTTCCTTCTTTCCTTTCTCCCTTCTCTTCTTCTCCCTCTGTCCACATAGGGAATCATATCCTTACCTACGGGTGCTCTGCCCAAAGGAATATAAATTTTGATCTCTGAAACCTCATAGGATATCTTGGGATTTACAGGCTAGATTTCTTTTTAAAGAAGCATGCCTTAAATCCAAATCACTCTGGCTCTCACTGATTGGCCAAAAATAGGTCCCAGCCCAAGACTCATTTGGACATTGTTTGGTACTCCAGTATTTTTGCTAAGAAAACCCCATAGAGTCCCTGGAGACATATAGAGTAGGGCACAACTGAACAACAAATTATTATTATTATGACTCTACTGTTATATAATCTTGATTGAAATTTTCTACATTAGGAATTCATTCCTTTAATTTAAGGCATTACTATAACCAGGACTCTCTTTTTAAATTGCCAATATCCCTGCACCTTAGCAAGAAGTAGTTTATGTGATTAGGTGTCTCATCTCAAAGATGAAAGACTAAAACTTAGAAAGTAGTTTGGATTTTTGATCAGGGTAAGGGAAGTAGTGGGAAGGGTTCAGAATTTGAGGTGCTGCTCAGGTAGGTATTTGATCCTCACAACCTTGTGGGGTAGGTTCTATTATTGAGAAGGATGGTGTTGTCCCATCTGTGGTTCCTGAGCTGGCTGGCATTGATAAACTTTCTGAAGTGAGAAGGGGAGAAGGTGAATAAGTCATGCACTTTAATATCCTTTGGGTATAAATGCCAGCCAATGATATTTCTAAACAATACTCTTCATAGAAATGTAGAGAGAGGCATTAAAATAATTTTTTAGTCTGCCATCTAAAGTTTGGGCCTTTCAGCTAATATTTTAATTGTCTTAAATGTCTTAGTCATACTTACTTATGTTAAAGAAACTACACTGTGTTGTCACCATCTCCATGAAATTGGAATGTCTCAGTTTGAATAATGATGAAAAAGGGTATCTGCCTAGAAAGTAGAGCTGGTACTTAGTTCCTTGCTATTTTATACATTTCAGGAAATCCCACATTGCCAGGAGTGATTTGAATGGAAGACACAATGAAGTGATCATTGAGAAAGACTTGTCTCAGCCTAGAGGAATTGCTGTTCATCCAATGGCCAAGTATGAATTAATGGAGGATGGGGGGCATTTCTACTATGGTTCTATATGGTTAATGTCCAATAACCAATACGCAAGGGTAGACTGAATGGTCTACTGTTCAGTGGAAATCCAAACACAAGACCATCTTTTAAGATTTAACTTACTAACTCTAAGACAAAAAGCTAAAATAATAAAATCAGAGGTACCTCCCCAAAGGGCTGTTTCTTGTCATTCTAGTGTACTTTGACTCTTCTGGCTAATGTGAGACACTAGTCCATTATTCAACATTAATTGTGACAGCTATGGGTTATTTTTTAAAAATTCTACCTGATGATAATTTTTTTTCGAAGAACAAAGACATTTTATTTGTTAGTAGGAGAATTTCTGCACCACATGCTTCTGGAATTCTGTTTGGAAACATATATGATTTTTAAACTAAAAGGCCATTCCTAGTTTAAGATGCAAAGAAGTGGGGAAAAAAAATGAAAGACTGGACTACACACAATGTTGATAATCATGGATGTATGATGAAAAACAAAGGAAAAAGTGACATTAAGGAAACAGAAGTTAGCAACATTTTCTAGATTGAAGATTTATTTGTGCTTTTAAGTTTCTAAAGAACTGTTTCCAAAATAAAGAGGGTAGGGCAGTTGAGCTGGGGTTTGAGAATGTAACTTATGCTCCCAATAACCCTAAGAGAGACACCAGCCTGTCTCTCATCTTGGACATTCCTTATAGCAAGGCAGCATTGAGTTAAGGGTTTCTCATGGTGGCCTTTTCCATCTGTCAGTTTTGGTGTTTCCTTGGGATGTATATGTCCCTGGAAATGTCATGTGTGCCAGACCATGTGGCCAAAAGGCCAAAGGTCTCAGTCTCAAAAAATTCTGAGTTTAGATGGCAATCAGTTTGTCACTTGAGGTTTATAGCACACACACACACACACACACACACACACACACACAAACTACACCTTTGACAATACCATCTTAGATATGCTTTGTTCTTGATGACATGCTTAGTCAGGGTTCAAAGCACCTTGATTATCAGTAGATGTAGTATCCTGATAGGAACAATTAAAGAAACTCCTCTTAAACCTATTGAAAACTCAAGCATTTTTTAAAAATTAGGAGATAAAACATATTAATGAGTTATAAATTAATTGGAACAAGACAGATAAAATACATCAAGATAGCCTATTGGGGGGGGTAGGCCATTAACATTTTTATTACGGGACCTCCATTTTTTTTTTCTTTCTTACTAGACCTGTGATTTTTATCTGTATAAGGAACTCCCACTGAGGAAGATACCTTTATTAATGGAGATCAGCACATGCTTTACAATTTATGGTCTTAGAAGCTTACCTTTGGGCACGGAAAGGTCATAAGTGACTAACCCAGTACCACCCAATCAATATATGTCAGAGACCTGCCCTGAAGTCCGGTCTCTCTCCATTATGCTCTGCTACATCTCAGAAGCTGAATTATTATACTTGTATTGACCAATTGGCTGAATTTGCTTCAGGTCACTTGATGCAATGTCACTTTCATTGGATGGCAAAATTGTAAAAAAAGGAATAAAGTTGTAAGGTTTCATTGTATTTTTCTATTAAAATTGAAAAGTGATTAAACTGAAGATTAAGTATACATATGCAACAGTATTTAATTTGTGTTTCTAAGGAAATAATAGAATTTAATTTAAAAATAACAATAAGCTTCAGATTGTCATAAAAAATGATGTCTTCTTTTTATCTGACATTATGGATCTAACTTTAGGATTTCTTGTGCAAGGTAGTTGGGTAATAGAAGGCAATTATTTTATTTCTTTAAATTGGTTATTTAAGATTCCATGTTATATTTCCCTTCTAGTCTGTTTTTCAGATCATTTGTGGTCTGTTTTAAGGGAATTTAGATTGAAATTTACAAAGGTAAGATAATGGGAAAATAAAGCATATTCTTCCAAACTTTATTTGTTTTCTGTTTTGTGGATTAAAGGAAATTATTCTGGACTGATTTGGGAATTAATCCACGGATTGAAAGCTCATCTCTTCAAGGCAGTGACCGACTGATTATAGCTAATACTAATCTGGTCTGGCCTAGTGGAATAACGATTGATTATGTAGCTGACAAGTTGTATTGGTGTGATGCCAAACAATCTGTTATTGAAACGGCCAATCTGGACGGGTCGGGACGCCGAAGACTTATCCAGAACGATGTAGGTGAGGTTTGGGGTAGAGGATTACTTGCTGTTTTCTGTGTTGACATTACTGCTTACATTATATGTTTGCCTACACATGCACACACACACGTATACCCAGAGTGAGATTCCTAATTCTGTGATTGTGTATATAGATTGTGAGCTGTGTATATAGATAACCCATGAATCAATAAGAGAGTTTGGATAATATAATCTTTTCCTCAGAGTTTGTAACACAAGTCTTCATGTTGAGGTTTAATAAAGTTCAGATCTTGTTATATTTAAGGAAACATTGAGTCATTCCTATATTTTTCTGATATTGGATGAAAAGCACTTGAAATGCAGTAATTTTGATTATTTTTATTCATAGGATCATAGATTTGGAGCTGGAAGGGACCTTGGAAATTATTTAGTCCAACCTCCTCATTTTATAAATGAAGAAACTGAGCCTCAGAGAAGTTAATTTACATGTCCAAGGTCATACTGGTAGTATGGAGAAGGGCCAGATTCACAATGTGTCCTCAGACTCCAAAACCAGTGTTCTTTCTGTTGTATTATAGTGAATGAAATTTTAAGAGACAAAAACAAAAACTCCAAACACTTTTTTGTGTTTTTAATTTTTTTTTAATTTTAGAAAATGTCTTCATTCATTCAGGGGATAAATATTTACTCACTGTTTAGGTGCTGAGGGTTTAACAAGGACACATAGTCCTTGCTCTCTAGGAGCTGAGAAATTATAAGGTCTAATGGATCCAATCAACACTTCTTTGAATATCTGTTTTCTAGAGATGTTTGTTTATATACCTTATTTAAGAGACCAAAGATTACACTAGTGAGTATATTAGGCAATTGTAAATGTATATTTTAAAGAATTTAAAAAAAACTTAAAGAAGGTATAATTTACAGTAGATGCAAGTTAATAGGATGGGCAGCCATGGATGGATCGAAATCTGCATTTTTGGAAGGAATAACCATATGAATGAAGTCACAGATGCAGTATAGTATATTTCATAGCATGAGACCTAAGTACACAGATGTGCATGAAAGGCAGTATGTTAGGAAATCATTTCAGAGAGTTCAAAAGCATGGCAGATATTATATTTACTATTTTGCTTGCCCCAAAGACTTAGAGATGGATCTTGATCATCTAATCCAATCCCTTTGTTTTACAGAAAAGGAAACTGAGATCCAGAGAAGTTAATGACTTGCTTAGAGTTGCTCAGGTAGCAATTATCAGAGCCGGGAAACAAACACTCCAAATCCAGAGTTCCGTTACATTTGTCCTTTCTTTTGCATTTGTTGTTTTTCTCTATACGCAATTCTTGACTCAACTAAGGAGTCTTTCTCATTAGAGTGATGCCATCTGGTGGTGTGCTCCAGTTGAAGTTAGTTGTCTCCCTCATATTTGAATGTGGTTAAACTAATTCACCCCAGATTTTTAAAAAAATCTCAGCATATAAACAAAAATAAGTATATGACTTTTAAGATCTAAAATTTGTTCACACCTTTAGCAGTATAAGAAAGAACACGTTCTTTACTATTAAACTCCAAATCTACTTATTCAACCTGGGCTAAAGAGCTAGAGAGCTAAGACGCAGAATGTCCCAAGAGTCTTAGTGTCATTTTAAGGTGCTAAAACTTTAATTTAATGTTTTGAGCAATTTAAGCTATTAAAGCTTAAAATGGCACTAAGACTTTTTGGATGCCCTGTGTATTATAGCAGTTTGGATGCAGTAATGTTCTGCCCTTTCAGTATGAAAATGTCCTATCGACTCACTTGAATCAATAGTACAAGCTAAGTACCCACCGCTCGAAACAAAGGGCTTTCAGGTATTTTGTTTTAAGCTATGGGGATGAATTGGTTCAGATACATCCCTGCTCTCTTTACCTGATCTTCTTCCTGTACCATTGAAACCCATTGGCAGGGAATGTAGCATGCATGGTTCAGTGGATGTACCAAGAGTAAGGCTTTTTCTCTTTATGAAGCTAACTTGCCCGTATAGAGATTGAATCTGTAAACTTCAATCTGGTTAGTCCTCTGCTTGTGTCCACAGAGCTAACGAGCTAAATGTAATGCTTCTTAGAGAGTAGTGAAGTGGTGCTTGGAATCAGCGTTGGGCTTCAGAATCAGGAAGACTCATCTTCATGAGTTCACATCTAGCTTCAGACACTTACTACTTGTGTGACCCTGGGCAAGTCACTTAACCCTGTTTGCCTCAGTTCCTCATCTGTAAAATGGGCTGGAGAAGGAAATAGCAAACCACCCTAGTCTCTTTGCCAAGAAGACCCCAGATGGGGTCATAAAGAGTCAGACATGACTGAAATGCTTCAACAAGAACACGAGTGTGCTAGGCACTGTGTTAGATGCTGGGAATACAATGACGAAAGACAAAAAATTCTCTGCTTAAATACTTGAGTGCTTAACGTAGTCCAATGGGTTGCCCACTTGTGGGCTTCCCCAAAGGGTCACCCAGGTGGCAGAGATGAGATTCAAACCTAGCTCCTCTGATGCCAAATCCAGAGCTCTTTCCTTTGTGCAATTTTTCAAATCTGTGTAGATGCTGTGATCAACAAAACACAAATTTATTTGTAAGATACTTAATTCACAGTGTTGTTTTGTCATCGTGCATATTTTTAAACAGTGGGTCCTAATGCTATAATTACTCTCGTAGGGTTTTGTGAAATCTCTTTATGTTATAAAAAGTTTCCTCATACTTAAAAAAGGGTTAAGAACTATTGAATATTTATTTGTTGAATGAATGAATAAATGCATGTCAAGCAAGTGTTTGCTTCTTTCACTATATTAATGTTTTTGAAAAAATGAATTGCTCTGCTGATTTGCTGTCATTTAGAGAACTCTTTATCCATCCAATATTCTTCCATTCATTTATCTTCTCTGCATGCATCATCTTTATTATGTAAACTTAGTTCTTATTTTTAAACCTACTAGGGAAATTAAATACATGGGAAAGTGATCATGCATATATTTGTTTTTGGTAGAAAATAGCAAAAATTAAATCAGTTTCTCTCAGGATATAAAGACAACATCATATGGAAGCCAATTCTGCTAAGATTTCTCCTTTAGATCTTTCTAAGATCTCTCCTTTAGAAAAAGACAACTTCAAAAGGTTGATACACCTCTCTCTCCCTCCGCCCCCCACCCTTCCTAAATTAACAAGATTGGGATTTGTTAGACTAAAGTAGAAAAGAAATCCCATGCCCATAGATGAAGTATAACTATAAAACAATGAGACTTTTTTTGTTGCATGTAACCTATAGAAACCATTCTCATTACTTTTTAGTTAAACTGTGGGAGAGTGTATGTGGTGGGGGGTTTAATGTAGAGCTATGATTTCATTAATATTGACTCCCAGTGAGGAAGTTCTCCACCAGTGCAGATAGCAACTTTTCTGGAGCTTTCTGGGGGCACCTAGAAGGTAATTGACTTGTTCAGGGTCATAGAGCCATTGTGTGTTAGAGGATGGCTTGAATTAAGATCTTTCGGACTAATTCTGACTGTTTATGCTGTTACAAGGAACAATGGATAGAGTGCTAGGCCTGGTATCAAAAAGACCCGAGTTCAAATGTGGCCTCAGACACTTATTAGTTGTATGACCCTGGGCAAGTAACTTAACCTGTGTTTGCCTCAGTTTCCTCATCTCTAAGAGGGATCATAATACCACTTACCTCCCAGGGTTGTTGTGAGGATCAAATGAGATAGTAATTATAAAATACTTACAATAACTGCTATATAAATGTTAGTTACAATGATGCTGTTGATGCAGGTGTACTTTAAATATATGTAGACATCTGTGTTGTTTACAACAGGACCCAAGAGCCCCTATTTCTTTTAGAGATCTCTCCATGAATTTGTTTACATTCCTTAAATTTTGATCCAAAGCAAATTATAGTATTTTGTACTGGAAAAGGTGTAAGTTTCACCCAGGGAATATGTATGTGATCTGAATTTCTGATGCTGTACACTGAATTGCGGGTTGGGGTTGGGAAAAAGAGGGGAAGATGCAGAAACTGGCATCAGATAATTGTGATCTTATTTCACAAATAATGCTTTCAAATTCATTTCTTGCAACAATTTGGTGAATAAATGTAAAGACCAATTATTAAGTGTTAGACTCAGTGCTAAGAGCTGGACATAGAAATATAAAAGAAATATAATTCCTGCCCTTAAGGAGTTTACAATCTAAAAAGGGAAACAGCACATGTAGGGGAGTGGTGGACAAGGAAGGATAAAGTAGTTGGGAGGGTTCCTGGAACTATCTGGGCAGTGGATTGACAAGCCCTGCCCAGAAGCAATGGCAGTGCTGATTTGATTACTGTTCCCAGAGCAAATGGTGGAAAGGGGCAGGAAAGAGATATTTTAATCCCATTTTACAGAAGAAGAAATTGAGCCAAAGAAGTTAAGTGACTTGCTGGATGGCACTCAGTCTGCTTAATGTCAGAGATGGTAGAAAATAAGCTGGCTGGCTCTAGGGTAGCTGTAGAGAGAGCCCCCATTGGGTTCATTTTTGCCACCTTCCTATGAAGAAACCTCCCTAGGTTTCTTCCCTAGGCTAGGAAAGTAGTGTCAATCTCAACTAGAAATAGGGACCACTAAACCATCCCTGCAGGCTGTATATTAACTTAGAAAACCACATTCACATTATCAATGTTTTATTGCATTTTTATTTATTTTGTTCAAAATTTCCCAGTTACATTTTAATCTGTTTGGGCCATGCTTGGGAGTATGACGCAGCCAGCTGACTCTGTAGGGGGTTGAACCTTTCACCACCACCTCATATTTCTGGGCTCCTGACTCAAAATCAGGTCATCCAAGCTTGTGGGTTTGTGTCCCTGTTGTTGGCTAGTTAGCAACATTAGATGATGTCTGGTTCCTCTCCATCTACTGTAGGAATTATGTATGTAAGTATGTGTGAATATGTGTGTCCCCCTTTTTTTTTTTTCTGGTCCACACATGTGGTTTCATCACTATAGGGTTCTTGGTTAGTAACTGTCCTGCAGCATAGTCTGAGAGTTGCCCAAGAGACTCAGAGGTTGGGTAGCGTATCCAAGGTGACAGTTAAAATAAGAGACAGCATTTATGTAGTACTTTGAGGCTTGCAAAGGGCTTTACAACTATTATTTCATTTGATTCTCACAGAAACCTTGTGAGAGAGTTGCTATTATTACCCCCATTTTACAACTGAGAAAACTGAGGCAGAAGAAGCTTAACGATCACTTAGCTAGTCAGCATCTGAAGCTAGTTTTGAACTCATCTTCTTTACTCCAGGGCCAGCACCCTCACCACTGAACCACCTAGTTGCCTTGGCCTCACAAAGCCTGGCTGTGTCATAGGTGGGACATGACTTTAGGTCTGTCTGTCCACTGTGCCTCTCTATCCACTATACCAGGGGGTAAAACACAGTCTCTCCCTAACCCCCTCCAAGACTGCATTGTGGGCAGCAACATTCCCAAGTGTCTCTGGAACCAGATTCCGATGTAATTGGGAAATATTAAACAAGAGAAATAAAAATGCAGTAGAACATAGATAATGTTAATATGTGATTTTCTAAGTCAATGTGTGGCCAGCAGGGATCCTTATGTACAGGTTAGAGGCCTCTTCTCCTGTCTGCACACATTACTTTAAATTTCAAGTTCTTGCCTTTGTAAATACACTCTGCAAAGAAAAGCTATAGTTAATTACTATGCCTTTCTTCCAGATCACCCATTTGCTGTGGCTGTATTCGAGGATCATGTTTGGTTCTCTGATTGGGCTAAGCCTTCGGTAATAAGGGTGGACAAGAGGACTGGCAAAAACAGGGTATGTCTTCGAGGCAGCATGCTGAGACCCTCATCCTTGGTTGTAATTCATCCTTTGGCAAAACCAGGTACACTGGGAATGTGATGCAGTTGTGATTTGGATGGCTTCTGCTGATTTGGGGTGAGGGTATGGGAACTTTGCTACTTTTACTTCTCTGAGGAAATCTTCAGTTTTCCTGAAATCTAGACTTCATTTCAACTAAAGCAATTTGGTAGAAATCATACAATCTTAGTTGTTGTTTGGTTGTTTTTCAGTTGTGTCTGACCCATCACGACCCCTTTTGGGGCTTTTTGGCAAAGATATTGGAGTGGTTTGCCATTTCCTTCTCCAGCTCATTTTCAGATGAGGAAACCGAGGCAAGCAGGGTTAAATGACTTGCCCAGGGTCACACAGCTCATACCTGAGGTTGAATTTGAACTCAGGAAGAGGAGTCTTCCTGACTCCAGGCCTGATACTCTATACACTGTGACCCAAATTATACAATATTGTTTGTCCTAATACATTTGTTTCTACCCTCATGGCCATCTTTCCTTATCCTTTATCCTTTTTTTTTGCTATATACTCATATGAAAAAAATGGCTTTAGGTACAAATAAAGAGGAATTCAAATATGTGCCATGGAGACACCTCAGTCTTGGGCGCTAGAGACAAAATGAATTCCGCATAGCTAACTACCCTTAGCTAGAGCTAAAGATCAGAAGCATTAGTGGTTAGAGAGAGTGGCACCATCACCTGTACTAAATGGAAAAGAAAATTAGAGTAGTCCTACCACATCTGCTATTTGATTATTTGGAGACTGTGAGCCTGGAAACAGGAATGCTTCTGCCTAAGATGGTCTCAGACTGAGACACTTGCCATGTTCAATGGCATCCAAATAATATAGAGCCAACAACTCTTCTTGGGAACCTCCTGACTGTTGTGTAAGAGGGCATAACATGTTCTCCCAAAGAGGGATCTGTGCATTGTGATTTGGGTCAATAGCTTCCTTTCATATTTCTGGTAGATCTGTGAACACGTCTCTTTTTCCTTTAGGAGCTGATCCCTGCACATATAAAAATGGAGGCTGTGAGCACATTTGTAAAGAGACATTTGGAATCGCTCAATGTTTGTGTCATGAAGGCTTTCAGAAAACCCAAGATGGTAAAAAGTGCCAGGCTCTGAACAGTCATCAGACAGAAGCAGGTAGTCATTTTTATTGCAATGTAATATTTTAACCAGTACAAAAAAGTCAAAGCCCAAAGAATAGCAAGACTTAACATGACCAAAGGTATACAGATTTAGTGCTGGAAAATCACATACGGCCATAGATTTTAAAACATATTTCAGCTATATATTTTCAAAGAGAGAATTTGTTCACTACCAGTTATTTGCTATGGGTGGGGTAAAGTGTTTAAAATATGTATATAATATAGTGGTTTCCTCCTCCTCCATTTTCATTATCTTCTTCTTCTTCTTCTTCTTCTTCTTCTTCTTCTTCCTCTCTTTCTC